AGGAAGGATGCCCACGGTTCAGCTCAGTCACAGGCAGGGAGCAGTCCCGGGGCTCGGTTTGCCGTCAGTCTCCTTCGTTCTGCAGGGAACGTCAGCGGGAGGCCATCTCTGGAAGAAGAGCCCAGTTTACTTAAGTGCTGAGAGTGTTGCACGACCCCACGGCAGGCAGACAGGTAAGGCAAGGTCGCAGCGACGTCCTTTCTCTAACCGGTAACTCTCGGGTGTAACAAACATACATCATCTAGCTCGAATCCCCAAACGGATCGGAGAGGAATGCATGAACACAGGGACACGTATAAAAATGTAGATGACAGTGAGAATTAATCTAAGCTTTACGTAAATAAAATTTAACTCCTACTAATCAAAACAAAGAGGTTTCCAATGATTACATTTGCTAAAGAAAAAATATATATTTGGGATTTTAAAATTGCGCCATTACACACAAGTACCTGATAAAGTAAAAAGGAACATAAATTCTTTAATAGCACTGTAACTAATAAAAATGCAAATGATGCTCAATTATGAGGAATAAAAACAAGTCACTTAAAAAAGACAAGACAGTAATTCAAACCCCATACCCCATAGACCTATGGGAGTTGGAGGGTGGCTACGTCTGCGGGTCCCCTTCCCCCCTGTGAGTTTCTTCCCTCTGAGGTGTGAGCAGCCTGTTGGGGGGCCACAGCAGCAGTACCCCTGAGGACCCGATTGGTTCTCCCGTGGCACCGACAGGGAAGCACAGAGTGAAGGGCCCACACTGCGTGCTGGCAGGGCAGGAGGCCTCAATGACCTTCACACTGGGAGCAGCCTAGAGCCTGTCCGAGGGCCGAATGTCTGGTGGCTGCTGTGGGGCCGGTGACACTCTACTATCGTTTCTCTGGCTCTCAGGGTAGAAGAAATGCTGAAAGGAGTGGAGGATTGTGGCTCTGCCACCAGGAGACAGCTGGCGCCATGGCCCTTCCAGTTTCTGTCCTGGAGCTCTGGCGAGGACAGCTCCATGCTTCTAGAACCTTCCTAAGCCAGGGCCTTTGAGAGAAAGTAATGACAACCCTTGCACAGCTGCAGGGCCCCTCACTGTAAGGACCTTGGGAGCTCATGAATCATCATCAAGGGGACATATACCTGTAGCAACCTCCTCAGTGAGTCACCCCAGCAGGGTGCAGAGCTGACCACTCAAGAGTCGGGCCAGAGCTAGTCCACACATCTGATAAAACTGGAGCTATCATTCATCTCACATGCCGATGTGTTAGGAGGTTTCCCTGCTGCAGTTTAAGAACTAATTGCAGAGCCAATTAGGACCGCTCAGTAGCTGACTCTCGAGTCATCACCATTTTCTTGGAGAAAGAGGGGAGGGCCTGTCATTATCATGTTTGTCTAGAGAGGAATTCATGGCCAGCAGAGGCAGGACAGAACAGGGTCTGTTCTTTCACATGTAGCTTTTCACCTGTTGCCATGAGAGCTTCCGCTCGCTGCCCAGAGGTCCCCCATCTCAGAGAAGCAGCCCAAAGAACCTGTCACCCCAGGCAAGGTCTGCGTACAGTGACCTTGTTTCCCAGCGTGAATGGTCCTAACAGGTGAAACATGATTGTTTGAGGAGGGGCAGGAATGGAAGAGCGACCTGGCCTAAGGCCTGGAAATGTACCCTTTAACAAACGAGAAAACCCAAACCCACCACACCTAACTGAGGCCTAAGTTCAGACCCGTTTCTAAAGGTCATGAAACTTTCTGAGAGGTCAGCAATGGATTTTCTCCAACCCTGGAGTCCACCAGTCCCTCCTGCTGCACTGGGCTTTGCAGTGACTTCCCGAGGGAGAAATGAAATCGGCTGAGATACAGGTTCCCAGAGAGAAGTGTTCTTGGTATCAATCAATTTTCCTATGCCTGATGCTCTGGGGGAGGAAAGATCTGAAACCAACCCTTCTTCCTTCTTCTAGATACAATGATGGAGCTGCCACACCTTAGCAGGGGAGCAGAGGACAGAGAAGTCACTCCAATGGTGGTCTGGTCTTTTCTCACGGGGTGAAACTGGGACTTAATCCAGCTCTACCTCAGAGAGAGGGCGCAGGGGTTAGGGAAGGGCTTGAAAGCCCGTCTGCATCTTGGTGACCATCAGTCTGTGCTCTGTGGCACATTTGCTTTTCTCTAAAGGGTTCTGGTGGGTGGCTCCAATGCCACATACATGCTGGGAAAGAAGCGCTGGTTTCCGAGGGTCTCCGCTGGGCCCCAAGGCTGCTGAGGGGGATGGCCTGGCCTCTGTGGTCAGATGTCCAAGGGGCTCACGATGGTGAAGCCGGAGTCCTTGCTGTTGCCGCTGCTGTCATCGTCAGGGCTGGAGCTGGGGTTGCTGGAGGATGCTGAGGCTGGGCCCATCAGCGGGTCAGAGAAGACCAGCGGGAAGCGGGCCAGGCCCTCGCCCTTCCCAGCTGTGCTCCGGAGGGTGCGAAGAGGTTGGGCCTGGCCAGGGAAAGACGCCCTGGCACCGCCTCCTTCGTCTTCTTTGGAAACTAGGATGAAGTCCTCTGAGCTCCCTCCATCTGCGTGCCCAGGCGCTTCCGAAGGGGCCTGTGAAGTAGTCAGAAGTCAGGGATGAGAGAAGATGCCAGTAGAACAAGAGAACTGAGTGGAGGCCTGGGAGCTGGGAGCTGTTTATGTTCTATCAACATGTTAATTCTTACAAGACTGGAGAGATCACAGTAAATGGCACTATGGTGGAAGCGACGGGATCACAAATGGCACTGGGGCAGTTGGTAGAGAAAGACTGTCCCTTTCCACGCCCATTAATGTCCCTCTGTAAGGCACCTGGTCAGGGCTGTGGGGCTTGTCCCGCATGTGGGCACATGGGTGCTGGTAAGGCTGCAGGACCCCAGCCTTGACCTCCTACCTCCAAAGTGGGGATACTTCGTTCATACAACCGTTGTCCTGCACTGTAAACTGAAAACCTGCGCTGGTAACAGGTAGGTTCATATAAACATGAACACTGGGAATGGCAACTGCAAAGTATAAATTGAAGTTTTCAATTTAGCAAATTCATGAGTGTGTGTGAAAGGTCTTCTTCTGTAGTATTTTTACACATTCAACTGAAAGAATCACACTAAATTTTTCAATAAATTGTCAATTAAAAATGGTTGGGGCTCAGCAATATTTGAATAAATAAGTGATTATTGAAACATTAAACATCTGTGGAGGGAAGGAAAGGTTAGGAGGAACTAATCAAGTTAAACTTGCAATTTTAATGTGTTCATGTGGCTAAAATGCAGACTCAGAATGCTCCATGAAAGCTTCCTTTTAAAGCTGGATGAGATTAACCACACAGGGTTCTCTTCTTGAAGAGTAGTCTTAGACTAAGGCTGAAAAAAGCTCCCATTATAAAATATCATTAAAAAAATAAAAATAAAAAATAATGTACAAGCATCTGGATGCTAGTTTTTGAGAAAGTGACTTAGATGAGATTTCGCTAAAGTTCATTTTTCAAGATGAACCTTTGTAAGCCATTTGAAAAGAACATTATTGGGAATTTTCGTCCTATCAGATTGTGCACAGTGAGGCGGCAGGGTGAGTAGGAAGCTTACTGCACTGGGACAAGTTCTCCAAACACACTGTCTGGTGAGCCCTGTGCCTCAGGCAGTACTGGGCGCAGGAGGAATTTCTTAGATCTTTTCTAAGCGGAAAGTTCTGTGACTTTGTGTTAGAATAAATTATACACGATGTCGACACCTGCCCTCAGGTGTCAGCGAGTTACAGCCCACAGGCCAAATCCAACCTGTGATCTGGGTTTGCATGGCTCTCAAGCTTCGAATGGCTTGTACATTTTTAAATGGTTGTGAAGACAAACAACTAAATAAACAAACACACCAAATACAAAAACAAATATATGACAGAGGCCATATGTGGCCTGCAGATCCTAAAATACTTATTATCTGGCCCTTAACAGAAAAAGTTTGCGGACTCCCTGCCTTAGAGGATGGACATTAAGGAGAAGTCCTTCCCCACGAAGAAAAAAAGGTTCTAGCGAGTGCAACACACCAAGACGGCACGAGGAGAACACGGGTGGCACGTCTGTGCTAACAGGAAGGGAGGCATCAGCTGAGACCCTGACCAGCGACCGAGGCAGAGACCTTTCCAGCCCTCAACAGGGGGAAGGGTCGGAGGTTTGGGCCGACGCTGCTGCGTGAAGGTGTGCAGGCTGTGCACGCACAGCTCCGGGAGACACCAGTTTAATCACTATCCCTGGGGCTGGCACCCCTAGGGCACCGGAGTGTACAACCTGCACAGTTAATATAGCAGCTCAGGCCAGGCCACTTGTGGTATTTCACAGCTGAACTTCACACGTGGTCATCTAAGGTGACCTGGGCAGGGTTTTTATCATTCATAACTTTGAAGAACTTATATGACTGTGACACTGTCATCATGTGTGACACTGTCCGTGAGAGCTCTGTACCTGCTTGGTGGCCCCGGGCCCCCGGTCGCCCTGGCCCTGGCCCTGGCCCTGGCCGCTGGAGCAGTAGTGGTCATCGGCGATGGTGAGCTGCTCGTTCTCCTCGGCTTCCAGCTGGCTCTGGTTGAAACGCAGGGAACCTTTTAGAATGTCTTTGATCTATTTTCAAAGGAGAGGAAAATAAAAGAAAAAGACAAATGAGCTTGTTTTTAAAGGTTAGCTAAATCTCTGATACACTTAAACTAGTCTTGTCACTGACAATTTTTTACTATGGATATCAAGATATTACCATAAGAAAGACACAGACAAAAATCCAACTCTGCCAAAGCCACTGACTCATTAATGACTATGGAAAAGGTAAGCACCTCAATGGCCAGGTTCTCACAGGGTCAGACATGGTGTCACCTCCCTGGGGTTCACCTGAGGCAGGAAGCAGCATTTGCCTGCACACCCAGCCCAAATGTAGAGTACTGGGCTCCTGATGGGCTCTGCCCCAGCTCACAATTGAGGGCAGCCACCGTTTCATTGACATTCACACTCCATGTAGCCCTTTAAGGGTCATGTAAATGTAGCCCTTGAGGGTCTGAGGCCTGCTGCAGGTAGTGACTGACTTGTGCTCCAAGGACATTCATATTTGTGGATGTGATTGAACACGATGCTGGGCCACACAATACCAGCTTGGGGTGAGGAAGGGGCAGGGTAGGAAATGGAAAACCAGTTTGGGCTGCAGGCAGTCAGGCAGATCACCAGGAGGAGCGAGAGGCACAAGGAGGTGGAGATCCAGGAGGGGCTCTGTCTGGGAGGAAGTGAGGGGCTGGGGGGATGTGGCTCAAATGTTATGGTGCTCCCCGCCCGAGGGTGCTCCCCAACAGGCACGAAAAGGGAGGCCTGTGGGACACAAGGTCGGATCAGTGGACATACCTGCTTTAATCCTGCCAGGGAAACCAGAATTTGATCTTCTTTTTCCAAATTTTCTTGTAATATCACATCTTGAATATTTACTGAAAATAGAAGAATGACATTTTATAACTAATGCTCTGAGCATAACATATCAGCTGCACACCCTAACTTCACACAAGCTTGGGATTTTTTCTGCCAAATTTCACAGCAACTATTCCCACCAAGGGTGCTCTGCCGAAGTGAGATGGGGCAGGCGCCCGGTGCAGCAGCGGGGGCCCCGAGCTCAGCATGCACAGCCTTCCCGCCAGCACTGCACAGGTACGTTCTTGTGATGACAGATGTGTCTTCACTCCCACAGAGAGACCAGGCGACTCCTGCTGACCGCTGTGTGGCGAACAGCCCAGGGCATTCAGCCACCTCCAGGAGCCCACCCAAACTAAAGTAGCCCAGGCCACCCTCAGGTCTTAATGAATCATCTCTTTTACTGTGCTGATGATAAACACTTGTCACCATCTGACATTACTGCGTGCGTTTGCCTGTTTGTTGTCTGTCTCCCCCAATAGGATAAAGCTCCCAGCCTTAGAATAATAAATGCCTGGTGCACTCAAGTACAATGAGTATTTACTGACTAACTGAATGAATGAACAAACATGGAAAAACACTCTTGGAACTTGCACTTCAAAATACTGCTATTCTAAATATTTCCCCAAAGCATTTCCAGTAAGGGGCGAGGCAAGGACTGACACCATCGACGTGAGCTCAGCTTGACAATTTATTAGAATTTTCAATAAGTCTGTAAACCACGCTGACAAGGCCTCTCACATACTGCAGCCGAAAAACAGCAGCTTTTATTTATTCAGAAAATGTGACTCGTTTCTGACTAACAGAAAGGCCTGCTCCAAAACAAGAAGGCACAATGAATGAGAATGGAATAGCAGATATAATTAGAGAGCAAATGTTTTTGGTTTCCTTAAAAGCCTGTAACAATTTGTTCTCTCTCAATAAAAAACACACAAAAATCCACTCAACAAGACATTAACGACAACCAACTGCAGCAAATTAACAAGAAACAGTTCTGTAGGTCTTTGAGAGGATTGAAAAGGTTACTTTTGTTTTATGACTGCTGTGGTTTTCAAGGCAGAGCTCTGAGGGCTGAGGGCTGCCTGGAGCAGCAAGGTACCCAATAGTGCGGTAGCCTGGTAGGGGGGTGGGTTCTGTCTCATTGAGCTGAAGGTGGGACAGACTTCTCAGCTCCTGCTGTGTCATGACACAGGGTCAGCAGGGGGACAGCTCCCACACCCTGAGAGGAAGCTCAGCCAACAAACGCAGGAATACTAGGACGTCTGTAGGAAGCACAGAGGCCTTCCTGGGTCCAAGGTGCAAATGGAGGGGAGGTGTCTGCAGGCTAGACCCAGAAAATCAGGGGTCCAGGAAAAGAGGAATCTGAAAAAACAAGTGTGATGTTTGCCTGCCCCTTTGATAGTTTGCTGTGGAAGCCAAAGCGTTTGGCCAAATTGCCAAGTTCTTGTTCTCAAAGTAATGGTGGGGCTCGTGGTCAGCAGCAAGGACCAAAGGCATTTAGGGTCACAGGCTACAGCCAATAGGGAAGTCAGTGGCTCAGTGGGGACAAAGGCCCAGAAATACACAGGAACAGAGCTCTCTTTAGAGGCCAGCAAGGACCCTGAAACACTCAGAGGCCTTCCTCAAACACCAGATGTGTGAGCATCCCTGAACTTTGATACCATCCTGGCAAGAAGAGATGAGGTGGAGAAACTCTGGGTGTTTTTTCAGATGGGAGGGTTAACCTGTAAGAAAACAGTTGCCTTTAATGGCAAGTTTAAGCCTTGGACTGCCACTGGTGGGGAGGGAACTGCAGAACAAGATCTCCACACACCTGCACTGAGGTATATAGATTTACTACAGAAGTATCAGTGTCTACCTGAGATCTTACAAAACCACGCTGGCCATGCTGCCTAAAAATCCCATGAGCCAAGCAGCCCTAGCTATCCTCTCTTGGATGCCCTGTTTTGCTGTGAGCCTGCCCAGAGCTGTGTGGGGATGCTCACAGGAATAGGTTGAAAAGGGGCGAGGTGGTGAAGGCAAAAGGTATGAGTGTGCTGGGAAAATGGAACAGGCTTGTCTTTCATCACAGGCCCAAGCGGGAACAGTGCTACATGCTCTAAAGGCCACTCTCTTGATAAGAACAGGAGCAGTCAGATCTCTCGGGTCTAAAGAGGTGGCAGAGCTGCTAGTGGGCTACCCCACCTCTACCCTCCACCCCTTCCTCACCGACATGTCCCGGACTTTATTCAGGGCAGCGCTGTGCATACCTGCCCCTTCAGCCAAGGTTGGTCATGTGACACAACTCTGGCCATTATGGTCTAAGAGAAGTCCCTGGAAAGGTCCTTGTTGGGGGCTGACTCGGTTTGCACCTTTCCGACCTGTACTCTCCCCACTCTTGCTGCCTGAAGTGCTGGCAGAGGACCCACGAGTCATCCTACAAACATGCAGGTGAGAATCACAGCTTTGGGACTTTGGGTGTAAAGCCAGAGGAGCCTGGGGCCCTGGGTACATCCTAGAGCTGTTACACCAGCTTGGACTGCCTACCTCTGGGCTTCTTTTACTTAAGAAAAAAATAACCAACTGATTTATTTACTCTACTGGTTTTTGCATTTTTGCTATTAGCAACTATATTTGTTTCAAGGTGCTACAAACTGGGTGGTTTAAAATGACAAAAATCTATTCACAAACTTATTTGTGAAAGCTGCAAGTCCAAAGTCAAGGTGTTGGTAGGGCCACGTCCCTTGGCAGTTCCAGGGAAGCACTCTTCCTGGGCCCTTCTAGCTTCTGGAGATTGGCCTCCATCCTTGGTGCTCCTTGGCTTTGTCTCCATCACATGGGATTCTCCCTGTGTCTGTGCCCAAATTTCCCTCTTTTCATAAGGACACCAGTCATTGGATTAGGGCTACCCAAACCCAGTATGACCTCATCTCAACTAGATTACATCTAAAAAGACTCTACTTCCAAATAGGGTCCCATTCACAGGTTCCAAGTGGACATATATTTGGTGGGAACACCACTGGACTCAGTACTGCAGCCAAACTGCCTGTTGCACAGATGAAAATTACCCAGTTTCTCTAATGTAAGGGGACTGAGGTGGCCCCACCAGTCCTCTCCTGCAGGCAGAATGCTACTAAAGTTCAAGCTGGCTCCTCTGTGCAGCGTGGCTGGCCAAGGGGACACCGAGGCAGGAGGAGAGCCCAGAGCCTGGTAGCACTGGCTGTGTACCTTCACCCAGCAATTCTTGGGCCTCATTTTTTGGATGGGGTCAAAGATCACTTTTTAGAATCTCATGAAAACCAGGACCATCTCCCCTGAAAACCCACATACACATAATTTTAAGGAAAAACCTGTTATAATCAACTGAGCTAACTAGTCTCACTTCAAGAAATCGGGGGTACAGAAATCCAAATGAAAACAAAAGGGCATCTTCAGAGGCTGTTAAATGTCTTGAATGCAAGAGTTTACATTTTACTAAGCACTGTCCCTGTAAATCCGTTGCCTAACCAGTTCCACTGTACTGTGTAGTGATTTAAGGTAGCATTCATGAACATGCTATCAATATACAACCTCTCAGCAACAAATCTGCTTTAAGTGGGTTGCAGCTGCATGTAAAAACAGAACATAATGATGTCTTTTCACGCTTTAAAATATTAAAGGCAGAAATGTGAAATGTTTAAATTTCCAACGTAACGCACATTTTTCTTTATAGAGAAAAGCAGAATAAATGGTAATGGAAAGGCTCTTTCTTTTTATTTCTGTATAGCAGGAAGATTACATTCTTTATAATTTTGTTCTATTTAAGTGTTATAAATGATGGAGCATTGAAACTAAAGGGGAAAACCTTACATAACTAACCACTATTGCAGAAATCACACAAAACTCTCATTGACATGATCCCAGGGTGACTCCACTATTTTTAATGAAATGTCGATACCACATGAATAGATCTCTCACTAAGGGTAGTGGAAATGGAGCATAGGCTACCTTACTACTTTCTTAAAAACCCATGCTTTCTTCAATGCTAGAATAAAAGTGTTTCCATTTAAATGGCTGGTACAGAAGGTTAGCATAAGCCTGTATTCATTATGAGGGGTAGCGGACAGGTAACAAAAACAGAACTATCGTCTATCCATAGTGGAGGTGGAACAGGCAAGTTATCCAACCTCCTTGTGGTGCCTGATGGGTAATAACAAGACCTTCCTCACAGGACTAACTGTGAAGACTAAATACATGATGCAGCACCTTGGCCACAGCAGCAGCTCAGGACCCAGCAGCTTGCATTTCCACATGAACACATGACCTCATCTGAGTGTCCCAACAGCCACTCTGGATTAGGAGCAGCCCCCTCAATCAGAAAAGGCAGCCAGGCTCAGAAACACCAGGTCTGTTATCGGAGGTCTCAGGACTGGAAGTGGTGGGGCTCGGATTCCATTCCCAGTTGCCTGGATCCGGGGCCCTCCTTCCACACGGCAATGACGGAGGGGCCAGGGGTTTGAAGAGGCACAGGGTGGGGTCTTGACACTTACTCAAATGCCTTGAGATGCTAGTGCCCTTTATCTGGTGGCGGAGCTGACCTACATGAGGTTAGCCAGACACAGGAAGACCTGCATGCAAAGCAGACTGCAGTCATTTCTATCAGCCTGCGGGGCACAGCTCTGATGACCCCGTGCTGCGATCTGAGTGTCAGTAAGACGGGGATGCCTATCTCAGCGGGCGTTCTGGAGGATTAGATGAGGTAATCAAAGCGGTCGACTTCTAATGTTCTGCCTCATCATTACTATTATTGCTTAGTATTTTTTTTCCCTTCTCCAATATCTTAAATACCCAGAGAAGTGGATCCTGCTCTCTGAGCTTCTCTCGTCTCTGGCAGACATTTAGTTATCCTGATTTCTGACACCCTCAGATAAGGACTGTCCCAGGCTCTAAAGAAGAAATATGCAGGCTGTTACACAACAGAGGGCTCACATGTAGGGTTGACTGAGGTCACACGCATGCCCAGAGTGGCAGTGGTTGAAGAGGTGGCCATTAGTCAAGGAGG